AGTAGAGTAGAGTAGAGTAGAGTAGAGTAGAGTAGAGTAGAGTAGAGAACAGAACAAGGTATAGGAATAGGAATAGGAGTGGAGTAGAATAGAGTAGAATAAGGAATAGGAGTGGAGTAGAATAAGGAATAGGAATAGGAATAGAGTAGAGTAGAACAAGGAATAGGAATAGGAATAGAGTAGAATAAGGAATAGGAATAGGAGTGGAGTAGAATAAGGAATAGGAATAGAGTAGAATAAGGAATAGGAATAGGAGTGGAGTAGAATAAGGAACAGGAATAGGAGTCGAGTAGAATAAGGAATAGAAATAGGAATAGAGTAGAGTAGAATAAGGAATAGGAATAGGAATAGAGTAGAATAAGGAATAGGAATAGAGTAGAGTAGAATAAGGAATAGGAATAGAGTAGAATAAGGAATAGGAATAGGAGTGGAGTAGAATACGGAATAGGAATAGGAATAAGAGTAGAATAGAATAAGGAATAGGAACAGAACAGAACAGAACAGAAAATGGAATATAATAGAATGGAATAGAACAGAACAGAACGAGGAGTGGGAGTGGCTTGTTGACTGGGCATGGCTTGGTGGTCACATGACTGGCTGGGCGTGGCTTGTATGTAAATATTATAAATATTTATGTAAATGTTTTTTTTCTTATAAAAAAGAGCAACTTTTACCCAAAATCAGACAAAGCAGGCAAGCAGATTGAGTTGCTCACAGATTCACTTAGAGATCTACCTTTCTGCAATCTGCTTCCTGAGTCTGTCACATAAAATTTGCTTGCAAGCAAACTCATAAAATTTGCTAGTAAGCAAACTCACAAAATGAACTCACAACACACCATGTATGTAAATATTGATTTTTTTTATTTTAAAAAAGAGCAACTTTTTACCCAAAATCAGACAAAGCAGGAAGGCAGATTGAGAATGCTCACAGAATCACAGATTCACTCAGAGATCCATCTTTCTGCAGTCTTCTACCTGAGTCTGCACTGGAAAAATAGAAACTTCAGTCCTAAGGAAGGTTCAGCTCTGCTTTTAGATTAGCTAGAAAGCAAGAAATCCAACCATTTCTTGTTTTCTAGCTAATCTAAATCTCCCAAAAAAGCTGATCGTTGGAACAGCTGATGGTCGGGGGGGAAAAAGGAAAAACAGTAACCTACCAAAAATTAGGCGAAAGCACAAGGCAGGCAAGTTGGATGGTGAGCGTGCCAGGTAAGGAATGGAGTAGGCGGGGCAAGAGGGGCTGGGCCAGCCAATGGCGTGATTTGCCGGTTCTCCAAATTGCACAGAATCCCACCCCTGCAGCAAATCTGGCTGAGGAATTCTGGGAGTTGAAGTCCACAAGTCTCAAAGTTGCTAAGGTTGGAGACACCCCCCCCCACCTTTTATGGTATTATACACACCTGTTGCCTTACTGATCTTATCAAGAGTAGTTTTTAAGCCTTTTGACAAGGATTATTGCAGTCACACATTAAGTCTCAAAAGGAGGCTTTTTATAGCAGAAGCTTTTTAATCCCCATGGAATTCCTGGAGATTATGAACCAGGATACAATGATTTTTGAATATCCTTCCCTGAAATCGGATGCCTCTTTCTACCTACTGTTCGGACCCTCAAGGCTTCCCTCACTTATGCATCGGAAGACTGTATAATATTGTCGGAATCACAGCCCAAAGTCCCAGAGTTGGAGACAGTAGAATAACAGAGTTGGGAGGGACCTTGGAGGTCTTCTAGTCCAACCCCCTGCTCAAGCGGGAGACCCTATACAATTCCGGACAATTGGATCTCCAGATTCTTCTTCAAAACCTCCAAACATCCACAACTTCTGGAAGCAAGATGTTCCACTAGTTGATTATTCTGCCAAGAAATTTCCCCTTGTTTCTAGACCGCTTCTCTCCGTGATCAGTATCCGTAGGACTTGGTTCTGCGCAGAATCTGGCTCCATTTCTGTTTCCTCCTCCAATAATGATACCCAAAACCGATGCTCAAACTGGTCTTCTTTTCTGAGTCTTCTGGGTGAAAATAGATGCAGGTGCAGCCCCTTCCTCAAAGGGCGAGGGATGTTCATCCAGAAGGCTCGTGGGGTCTTTGGTGCTCTCTGAGCTTGCAGAAATTCCGTGGCCCAACATCACTGAAGGTGGTCACTTAGCTGGGCCATGAAACGTCTGCAAAGGAAACCACCAAGCTCCGAGCTTCAATTGGAATTAGAATTCTTTATTGGCCACACGAGGAATTTGTCTCCGGTGTGTAAGGTCTCATGGTGGTCCCAAAGGTGCTTTTTTCAAGAGGCAACTGGACTTGTCTGGTTTTTCTCTGAAGACGTTTCACTTCTCCTCCAAGGAGCTTCTTCAGCTATGGCTGGAGGGTGGGGGATGGAAGGGTTTATACGCCTTGCAGACAGCTGGTCGTTTGCATCTTTTTAGAGAGTTGTTGAGGCCACTTGGAGGTTTATCTGTGTCCTCAGGATCACCTGAGTGGTGCAAATGTGTGTGGAGCCTTCTTGGAACTGTTCAAAGGACTTTGTTGTAGACTGGAGATAGATGGTGTCACATCCCTCCCCCTCTGTTGAGATAGGACCGTTCAATTTAGACATAGATGGCCTCTTGGACCTCTTCTTTCAAACCAGCGGTCCTCTCTGCCCAAAATGTGGACTTTGCTGTCTTCAAAAGAGCGGCCTTTGTCTTTTAAATGCAGATGGACTACTGAATCTAGTCTGGATGGGTTTGTTCTCCTATGTTGGGCCATGCGTTGATGCAACTTTGGGACAACCATGACATGGATGACCGAGAACCTCGACAGACAATAAGCTCTCAGTGTACATAGAAGCAACAAGTGACAAATCATGATTAGAATTGATCACTTCTAATATTTTATAATTTTATCACAAGGACCCCTACAATCCTCCTCCTCCCAAACCCCACTCCCTACAGACACTCATTCAATTGGGCAATAAAGTGTCTGTAAGGAAAGGACGCAGTGGCTCAGTGGCTAAGACGATCCGAAAGGTCAGCAGTTGGGCGATTCGAATCCCTAGCACCGCGTAATGGATTGAGCTCTCATTGTTTGTCCCAGCTTCTGCCAACCTAGCAGTTCGAAAACATGTAAAAAAATGCAAGTAGAAAAATAGGTACCCCTCTGGTGGGAAGGGAACAGTGTTCCGTGCGCCTTTGGGCGTTTAGTCCTGCCGGCTATATGACCACGGAGACGTCTTTGGACACCGCTGGCTCTTCGGCTTTGTGACGGAGATGAGCACCGCCCCCCTAGAGCCAGAAACGACTAGCACGGATGGGAGAGGGGAACCTTTTACCTTTACTTAAGGAAAGGACTACACTCAGAGAACCCCAAGGACCTCACAGTTCAATCCTGAGCTACTTTCTCTTCCATTTGGGCTCCCATCTGCAGATCTTCCCAATCAGTGTCCACTCCTCAAAATATTCTGAGGTCCTCCCTTTCACATAGGTGTAGATTGAAGTTCATTGCTTTTCCACTTCCTTTCCAGGCATCGCAATTCCAATCCCGATTCGCGGGATCGAAGAAAACGGCGCCAACTTTCAAAACTTCACCTGCGTGCTAAAGCCCAGCCGTTTCGGTGACTTCATCTTGTACGGTTCGATAGCCGCCTTCTTCGTCCCGCTGGCCATCATGGTGGTGAGTTACTTCCTGACCATCCGGGTCCTGCACAGGAAAGCTTACTTGATCAACAAGCCGCCTCCACGCCTGACTTGGAACGCCATCTCCACCATTTTCCAGCGGGAGATGACGACGCCCGGGTCCTCGCCAGAAAAAATGGCCATGCTGGACGGTTCCCGCAAGGACAGAGCCTTGCCAAATGGGAACGAACAAATGCTGGTACGCAGGGTGTCCACCGTCGGGAAAAAATCGGTCCAGTCGATCACCAACGAACAGCGGGCTTCCAAGGTGCTGGGGATCGTGTTCTTCCTTTTTTTGGTGATGTGGTGTCCCTTCTTCATCACCAACATCACCTCGGTCCTGTGCAAATCCTGCAGCGAGGAGTTCATTCAGATGCTGATGGAGATCTTCGTCTGGATCGGCTATGTCTCCTCAGGGGTGAATCCGCTGGTCTACACCCTTTTCAACAAGACCTTCCGGGAAGCCTTCGGCAGGTACATCACCTGCAATTACCAGACTTCGGCTGCCGGCACAGCCTCCCGGAAACCCTCTGCCAGACTTTCGTTCCGGAATTCAGTGACTGAGAACTCCAAGATTTTTATGATGCACCACGGCAGGCGGAACGGGATCAATCCGGTCAGCTACCCGAACCACCGGCTTTGCAGTTCGCCTATCCAGTCGTCGTCGGCTGTTCTGCTGGACACGTTGCTCCTCACTGAGCACGAAGTGAACAAAACAGAAGAACAAGCCAGCTATGTGTAGCCTGGTGTTGGGAAACACACACCCCATGCGTGCGAAGCCCATCGGGGAAACGCCAGTATGTATATATGGTTTTCATCCATTATTTATACGATTCCTAATGGCAGTTTTAATAATTGGTCTCCTCCTGCCCCAAGACCACCTCCATTTAGTCCAGTGTTTAAGAGGTAAAGCAAGCTTTCCGGCACTGTGGTTTATAAACGGAGGAGCCTTAATAAATAAATACAGCTATGGCAAGTCTCGGCTCTCCTTTCATCTCCGATTTATGTGACAAAAAGGCAAAGGGCTACTTTTCAAACATATGCAAGGTTTGTGTCTTTTACCCAAGGATGCTTACGCTTAGGAATAAAGTGTGTATCTTAAATTCATCTAGGAATTCATTAGCGTCTTCTTCCCCCCCAAACAAGGGAAGATTAAAAGGCCAGCTATTTCCAAATGTGTTAACTTTGCTCTTGTGGTCTACGGCAGTGGTCCCCAACTTTGCAGCTTGGTGGCCCAGCTGGGGGGGGGGGGGGGGGGAGGGGAACCCAGGCTATATGAGTGGCAGGCCGGCGCGCAAGCATGCATAGCTCAAACTGCTGGCCCGCCACTCACCCGATTGGAGCTGCGCACACGAGGGCTGGCTTGCCACTCGCTCAGCCTGATTCCAAATAGTAGTGGGCCACAGCCCAGGTGTTGAGGACTTCTTCTTCTATGGGCATGTCTCAAAAACCCAAGACTCTCTAATAAATCTCAGCTTGGCCAGATGAATTATGCACGTTTTTTTTTTTTCTTACAAAACTGCAGGCAGATAGTCCTCATATTAAGACCGGTCGCTTAATGACTGTTCAAAGTTACAACAGAAAGACACGCACCCTCCCCCCAAAAAAAGGTACTTATGATCTGGATGTAAACGTTCCAATGGTTGTGTCAACTAAAAAATACTTCTTTGGTCTTTTTAGTTGCCAGCAGAAAGGGAGTGGGGGAAAGCAGTGCATTCCTTAAATGCTTCAGATAATTGCTAGGCAGCCAAAGCTGTTGGTGCGCAAGATTATTACTGGAGAGCATGATTTATGACTCTTGGCTATGGATGTGTCCCATTGGAGAATATACATCCAGGGGGTGGGGGGAAGACCAGGGTCAAGGGGGAAATGAATGATGTGTCTTAGAGTCGGCTGCACCCAGGTCACTCCTAATAAATCAATATTTTTACTCTAGAAACATGATTTGAATTTTGGCTAGAAACATGATTTGAATGAGAGTGGATTTGCCAGAGCCCAATAGGCCCCCGTTTACGGCCGTGGGCAGCGTCCTGAGGCCATACGGCCGCAAATTATGCTATTTTATTTTATTTGTGGGCAGAAACTGGAATTTAGTTCCAGTTTTGGTCAAAACCCCTTCAAAGCAGACAACGACCATGTAATGACCGCTATGTTAATGATCATGTGATTCACTTAATGACCATTGCAAAAAAAGTTTGTAAAATCGAGTGTGGTCATGGGTTGATTGGCTTGACTATAGGACATAAAGGGTTCAATTAATGGTCGTAAACCGAGGACTGCCTGTATTTTGTTCCCAGCAATGCCCAGTCCTCTAGCCCTGGGCATTGTGTCTTGTCCGTAGTTATTTCATCAAAAGAAAAGATTAATTCAGCCATGTTCAAGAACATGATCAATTTAGCTGCTTTTTACTTACTGAGAATTTTCCAATGCAAGAATTCCTCTCCAGCATCCACAGCAAGTCTTCCTGGTATCTAATTTTGACCAATATTATAACAGTCCATAGAAACATTTTATACAAGGGTCTTGAAAACTCTGGTTCTGCTTTATATGGTGAGGACTTACAAAGGAAACTGAACTGTTAGGAATATTTCTATAGGAAGGTTTTCTGCTTTGAATGAATGAATAAACGACATTAGAGCAGTGTTTCTCAACTTTGGCAGCCTGAAGATGTGAGGACTTCAACTCCCAGAATTCCCATGGCTGGCCAGGGAATTCTGGGAGTTGAAGTCCATAACATCTTCAAGCTGCCAAGATTGAGAAACACGGAATTACAGTGATCAATAAAATGGCAGGGAAGTTTAGATCCTAATGTACAAGTAATTAATTACGGGTATCTGTAACTTATGGAAGCCTGAAGAAATGTCCTTAAAAATGCACAATGCACTATAAAGTGACAAAGCATACGATAAATGTAAGATTAAAAAATAAATTAAAAAATAAATGAGATAATCACCACCTGTGTAATCTATATATATAAAAGCGAAATACCACTCACACATCATCACAAAATCTCCAGAACTGCCTACAAACTTGAAATTTGGTATGTTCCTCTTGGCTTCTAGGGGCTCACTAAGAAAGGATTTTTCGAAATGACCATCACAGCATTAGTATTTCCTATATTATTATTATTAATTTATTATTATTAATTT